AGAAACTCTACGATCTCTATATATTGTAAATTACTGTATATTCTGTACTATATCAACACCACTTAGACATACTAATGTAGGTGATGTTGACTGACTATTATTGTACTTTTTACTCTCTCAACCTACCTCAATTACAACCTGGAATATATTTTATATTCATGCGACTCGTAACATCTTAGTCGTGATGTAGAGGTAAAATAATAATAATAATAATTAATAATAATAATAATAATAATAATAATAATAATAATAATAATAATAATAATAATAATAATATGAAAGCAGAAGAACTAAGGGGGGAAATTAAATGATTGAAAAAGGAAATTAACTTCATGAGAAAGGATAAATTCCGTGGTGGCAGCAGAGATATTTTGGTAATCTGTAATTAAGGATCGAGGAGATACTAACCACAAAGAATAAATTATGTACTACAAAGTATACTTGGCGGTTGCTGTCTCCTCGACTGACCCATCCGCGCGGATGGTCAATAATCCAATAAGGCCAACTAGTGATCTAATAAAGAATGTCTCATTTTTAATACTTTCTAATAAATAATGTTCCTGAGCGGTTGAAATTCAAATTAGTAAAACAAGCTGTGTCATTGAAGTCATACCTATTTACGTAACTCTGTAGCCTGTCAATTACCCAGATTGGAAAAAGAAATGAATGGATGAATGCGAAGAGTTCAAACCGAGCATAATAAACTGTTCTAACCCAAGTATTGATTAATTTCAGAAAAATATGAGAAAAGTGAAAAATATGAGAAAGAACTTTATCGCACGAAAAATTACTGCTTTTAAAGCATTCGAAGAAATTTTAGATCAACACAAATTGATAAAGATAATTATTCTTTATTCAACCAATGATTTTCAATATTTGTTGCAGAGCTCAATGCCCATCAGTTCTGAGGAACTATTACAACGCTTAAACCGATCTGATCAGCCAATGGGAGTCGAAACAGAATAGACCCAAAAATATGTAATATAAGTCCAACGTATTGGAAATCGGAAGGAAGGAAAACAAGTTCAGGGAATTGACAATAATAAAAATAATTGTAAAGAATAGGGAAGACAAGCGTCAACTCGAATGAGTAGGGAAAAGAATAATTTTAAGAAATGAAGAGATGAGAAAGTAGGAGATTTACAACAAATAACGCATAGTAGAGGTACGTAGAAAAACTAGTGGTGCTACAGAATGGCAAAGACTTGCTTTTATTAATTTTCTATTTTATTTGGACTACGTATACTTGCCACACACTCTTGCTTGCTCCATCTATCGCAGCCCATATGTGTGTGTGTGTGTGTGTGTGTGTGTGTGTGTGTGTGTGTGTGTGTATGTATTAAAGCTACCAAGCCCATGTATCAAGTCAACGCCACGATGTATTACCGAAACCTATTATTAGACTGTGTAAGCGTTATGTACACTTACTTACTCGTACACGCAGCAGTGTAGATGGCGTTGTTTCATTAATGGTGGGTGTTATGACCAAAACAAACCAATTTCGTAAAACAGTTTTTATTCAGGTTGCACAACATATAGAGGATACTATAAACAAGCGTCGTTACAAAAATTGCCAGGAGGTATACCGGAGACTTTCCAGATCAACCAAAACGTAAGTGATGTCGAATAACTTTGACGTGGTCGCGATCCAGAAGAGAAGTCCTTACACTCGCAGGCAGCGTCATCACTATCGCGTTCACTAACCCTCCTCGTTGCTCGCACTATTGCCGGGATTACTTTAACTGCTCTCTCCGCCCGCTGGGCGCCGTTTTATACACAATCCGGGCCAGAGGCTCCTCGACTGGCTGGCCGTAAGGGCAATGGCGAACCCGGTCGCGCCGACTGAAGCGTGAAGGTTGCGCCGACCCCGACCTCAGCGACCCGAGCAACTAGTGAGCGGTGCCCGTGTTTTCCAGGGTCGCCGCCGTCTCGCTGCTGCGACCTGGTGGTGGTTATTTTAAAGGGACGCTGGTGACCACTACAATAGGAACTGTAAACCAAATGTTTCGGAACTAGATGTAAAAGAATCGTATACTTTTCAAATGTTGGTACGTGGTAATTTTAAAACTTAAAATACACGGCATACCAAAAAGTGAAGCACCCAGAGAGAGGGGTTGGACGTGAATGAAACTACAAATACTGAAAGACCGTGTGTCTTTATTGAAATAATTACAAAATGGAATGAAAGAGGCAAGGCCGTTGAATGTGTTACGAGGCCAGTAGGAGGTCACACCTCCCTGGCTGCAGAGCTTGCCCCTATGCGGTTCGGAAGGCTGTCAATTACCCTTTGGACTCTCTTGAGGCAAGTTCGTCCACAATTGTGGCAGCATTTCCTCCACATCCTGCAGATTGCTACTGCGACGCAGCCCCCTTCCACTTTCATCCCACACGTTTTCAATGACGAAGAGGTCCAAGGATCTTCCTGGCCACGGAGAACTTCCACATGCCCTACGTAGTCCGAACACACGCGCTGCGTGTGGAGGTGCATTATCTTGGTGGAACACTGCCCCCGGGTGCTCTACCACAAGGGGTAGGACATGCGGGCGCAGACGTCTCTTTGTGCCGTCAACATCTGCCGAATCACTATTAGAGGCGATTTGAACACTTATCCGATGGCTCCCCACTCCATGATAGCTGGGGTTACGGCTGTATGTCTCTACAATATGGACAGGATATGCCCTCTGCGCACACTCGAACACGATGGTCATCGGAGGTTGCGGCAAAGATGGAATCATTCATGAGCGTGATGCGACGCCATTCGTCCTCTGTGTATGCCTCCCAGGCACGGCACCAATTAAACGCCGACGTCGTCTGTGTTCTGGTGTCGATGACAACGACGCATGGGACGCAATCCGGCGATTGCGCGTCGTCGAGCCACTGTATGGGAGCTCACAGGCTGTTGTAGATGTAGTACACGTTCGCGGATGGCGGATGCCCACATCATTTGATTCCGCACTGCTTGGCGCACAATACAACGATCCTCCCTCAGGGTAGTGCTTCTTGGTCGACCAGCACAACGTGCATGGGTGCCCTCATGTACCCAGTGGTTCCAACATTGGGCCACTCTCACATCTGAAGGGCACACATCCCTGGCAATTGCACGAAATGACCAACTAGCCTCATGATGTGCCACAAAGCGGCCTCTGTCAAATGGTGGATATGCTGTCGAACGCGTCTGCGTGGCACCGCGAGTGCTTTGTACAGTACTTAAATGTCGTTCACTTTCTGAATCACAGCAGTTGACTGATAATAACTGCGCAGCAACAGGGTGGTGACGTCACGAATGCACTCTGGTGGGCGTTCTACACATTAAAGATACGTGTGAAACGAATCATTTACTCATATCAATGGTGTGCATGTATGCCGAATTTGGATAATATTGCACCACATTTTGTAAGGTAGTGTATATTCTTCTTGCTGTATTAGCAAAGTGTTTCATCCAATTCTGCGGCATGCTATTTACGAGAAAAATTTCACAGATAAACAACTATATTTAAAGTTGTTTGCACTAAATTACAAACGTAAATATTGCAGGTAGAAAAATTTAAACATTTTGAGAAAATGGGTTTTAAAGGAATCATTGATATAGGGTACCCAATGGATGAAACCAGTGCTGAACAAAGTTTCAGTTCGAAATTCACCCAAAACCAGTAGTATGCATCAATATAACTATTCCAATCTTTCACAAAGAGATAAATACAAATTTTTGATCATCTTTTGAAAACTACGTTTTGAGTCTAGATAACAGAACCTACCTTCTTAAAACTGATTGGCTATGTAATCATAATTTAACTGGGATTGTTGACTTTTTCAGTCCTTACAGTGGGTAAAATTCTGTTTGAGAGAGATTCTCATTCAAAAACCTCTGATGAAGCAGCCGTTGAGAGATAGTGCCCAATTCTTTTGAGTCAGATGATGTCAACCCTCAACGAATAAGTGAAGAGATAGAAACCCGAAGTCTTGTTATCAAAGAGATGAAGGTTTGAACGAAATTTTGTATTATGGAAGTCCCTTTGGTGTGAGGTTGAAATTATTTGCGATGAGATAAGCCTGTTTTCGTAGTCATTAAAAAGAGAGAATGTTTAGATATGATTGTATGTGATGCTCAATTGAAAACATTTGTGATAAGAAAACAGGTCTTCCTTTGCGGTCACTTAGAATGGAGGTGTAATGATATGGTCCGTTCAATGTGTAATTGTATTGAACATTTTGTTACGTATTAATGTGCAGTCTGTAATGCGCGTAATGTGCAATGTGCCCTAAAGGATTTTTCTATTTAAATCGTGTTACGACAGGAACAGGGTTTAGTCGTTTTAAACTTTTTAGTCTTACACTGCCGAGGCTAACGGTGGTCTAAGGCGTGCAGACCCTCCTGGGCGCCTATGAAAAAAATGTCCTTGGAAGTCTATTTTTCCTTTCATTTGTCATTGCAAAACTAAAAGGGAGAGCCTTTTGATGGTAATGTAACCGCAATTATTACTCAGGACCAGTAAGACTCCTTTCTGTGGTTATTTTATATCAAGAAATTTGAAATTTTTTTCTGTTGTTACAGTATATTGTAAGAAAATGTGATGATGCGTTTGTGATTATAATTCTTGAATGTGAATTTTAAAGAGAACATATAAAGGTTGTAAGTTTTAAAATATCAATCAATTTTAAAAATATTGCTATATTTTGTTTTCCTTTATGAAGGCACAAGGCAAGAGAATCTGGAATATACAACTTCTGATAACACCAAGAATTTTAGTTTGTTGCATTTGATGGTTCTCTATTTTTAAAAATGGATAGGAATTTCCAAAAACTTCATGAATTGTTTTCTCGGTTTTTTTTTTATTTTTCATTAACTTTGTGTACTTGTGCACTAGGTATACTTTCTTTTGAACACAGCTCCCTTTAGTAATTCGTATTTGGCGGGTATCTGTGTAATTCGAATTAGGCGGGTTTGTAGCAGACCTCTCCACCAAAGCGCTAGCATCCGACGACAGTGGGAATAAGCCCATGCTCTACTTTGAGTTATTGTTGGGATTGGTCGAGATTGCTGTGCTGTGAATGGCTGTGCATGCAATCAGTTGCAATGCGATTCAATGCAGTCCGATGTATTCTTTGGATGACGTAATGATACTCGACGTAATAGATATGCCTATCAGTTGATTTCTTAGTTCTTTGCTGTGTAGTGTTTTTTCTCAGATTTTCTATTGACTGACGTTTGATTCTTGCCTGTTTGTATAAGAAAAAAATCTTCAGAGTGACTGAAGTGACCGAGGAAGAAGAGTTATTATTGATACCACAAATACATAATATTAAAGTAAAATTCAGCATTACTTTGTTTTTTTTCGTTTACGTTACGTGTCACTCCGTACATTCTGTTGCGTTTTGATAAATATACGTATTATCAAATGAAAGAACTGTACTGATTAGTGCATTTTAGGTTATGTATTTATGTACTTTCAAGATGTAAAATTTCTGTACTTTTTGAGGACAGAATGTCATCAATGTCTAACACAAATGATATTTATAACGCACAAATTGCGAGAGTTAATAATTTGAGGATGGATGACGCTGGAGGATATGGTGTTGGTGTTGATACCCCACAAAACATGTTGCCATCCAATGCACCAAGTAATGTTCAAAATCCTCTGCATTCCTCTGGCTCAGAAAGGGATTCTACAGCATCAACATCGAATGGTTTTAATCATTCCATAACAAGGAGGTCAGGAAATATGGCAAATGGCAGCAATTCTAATATTTCTGTTTCATTGTCTCAGCCAGTTTCTGTGGTATTAAACCATCATACAGCTCACCCAGTTTACAACTGGCAGGCAACCAAAACTACGGTGAAAGAACGTTTTGCTTTTATGTTCAATAATGAAATTTTAAGTGATGTACATTTTATAGTTGGTCGAGACACTCAACAACAAAGAATCCCTGCTCACAAATTTGTCCTCTCTGTTGGAAGTGCTGTTTTTGATGCTATGTTTAATGGTACTTTAGCCACTCAGTCAGAAGAAATTGAACTTCCTGATGTGGAGCCTGCTGCTTTTCTAGCTTTATTGAGGTATGATGACATCCTTTAAAGGTTGTGGTATATTTTTTTGCAATGGTTCCTAAGACCTTAATAAAACATACTGTAAATTTTATTGACTTTTCGATTCTATTTGGGTTCTTTTTCAAAAATTATTACCCAGGTTTGTTGACGTCACATCATAATCAAACTGTTCAGCATTTTGGTAAAAAATGGTCAATGGTTTAAAAAACCTTGTCAAGTTGAAAACATCATTAGATGATATTTATGATGTGATGTCAACAAACCTGGACATTCAATTTTTGAAAAAGATCCCAATTAAGGACAAAACATTAATAAATTGTTATATAAAATATTGAGTCTGTTTTAGTAAGGGCATAAAAAACATTGCAATAAAATAAACAAGTTAATAGATGCTAATATAATGTGTAAACAGTGCATCTATCATGTAATGTATGTTTCATCATCTGCAGGTTTCTGTACTCTGATGAAGTGCAAATAGGACCAGAGACAGTAATGACGACATTGTATACAGCAAAAAAGTATGCTGTGCCTGCTTTGGAGAAACATTGTGTTGATTTTCTTAAGAGCAATTTAAGCAGTGATAATGCATTTATGCTTCTAACACAAGCTCGACTTTTTGATGAACCTCAACTCGCAACCCTGTGTCTTGAAATGATTGATAAGAATACTCAGGAAGCATTGAATGCTGATGGTTTTACAGATATAGATATTGATACATTAACAGCTGTATTGGAACGTGACACATTAAGGATACGTGAAGCAAAACTTTTTCAGGCTGTTGTGAGGTTGGTTTGAAAATACCATTTATTCAGTAGTCATCAACTTTTATTTTTTGTGTTACAATGTTTATAAAAGTGAAACTTAATTTCTATTTCTTAAAACACAGGCTCGTTTAACAAATATTGAATGTGTCCTGTAGACAGGAAAAGTTTTTGCTTCTATTATAGTGAATCTCTCTAAAATGCTATGTTAATATTATCTTCAAAAAATTCTTCCAATTTGTTTAATACCAAAAGAGTTGAAAAGCACATATGTAGAAAAAGTAAATTATATTAGACAAATGTTATCTTCAGAAAAAGTAAGTGCTGTAAGGTGGTAATATTTTTTATTTTTAGACATCCATTGGAAATATATCAAAATTTTGTTGCAGTAAAGAAGTTGTATTTCTCCTTTTTCAGATACACCCTAATTTTTTTACAGTTTAATTTTCTTTAATTAAAAACCAGCTAATATAATTTTCTAAATTAATTATTTTAACAATACTATACTCTTGCTTGATCCGAACATTCCACATATTAAAAATTTTAACAATTAAGATAAGAGTTTAACATTTTTTAAATTATTATTCCACTTGACAACAACAGCATTCCTTTGTTATCCCTCTCACTGTGAACAGTAACTCTTGAACATGAAACATAACACCATTCGTAACACCATAATTTGTTAATTAGTTTTAAAAGTGGAAGTAGCATCATACTGGATCTCTAATTTGAACAAATTCCCCAAATTGTTGAAGTATTGGTCATGACAGGCCAATTGTCTGTCTGATTTAATTATACTTTCTTTAATTTATGATAAATATGTTTCGTCACATATTCATCACAAGTTTCATCATCTATTCTGAAACATGTCCTCACAGGTTTCTGATAATCTATGAATGGATTTTTTTTTTAAATATATGAATGGTAATTGAAAGTGTTCTCTGTGATTAAATATTTTTCTAAATATTATGCTGGTGGATAGAGCAACATCTAAAAGTCAAGCTAAATCAGAGCTTAAACTCCCAAAATGTAATAGAAGGATCCAAAATATTTTTCTCTGAATATTGTTGTCCCTCCAAAAACATAACTTTTTAAATCTTTATTTTCAAAGTGAAAGTAGCTTCACACTGGAACCTAACTTCTAGCATTTCTGTCAAATCCTGCAAGGAGACTGCCCCTTTGACACCATGTACCCTTAGGACATGTAATTTGTTGTTGAACTTATCACATTATAACCACATTTCATGACCTAATTGATCACAGTATTAGGTGGAACAGGCTAAACAAAAACAAAAAAAAAGTAAATTGCTGCAGGTCTAAGAGGATATTAAAACAACATGCTATAGAAATAATATAAATAAAGGCAAAAATAGAAAAGGAATATGTACAAATTTAATCAATGATGAAATGCATGCATGAGCATTCTTTATTTGAATTCAGAAATTATAAAGCACAAGAAAACTAAAGGCTTGCTTTAGATCTAGATCTGTCATTTAAAAACAGCTCACAAATTGTGCAATAATTCAGGGTATTAAAATGTAAGAAATATATTAAAAAACCCACGAAGCAACAGAAAGTGCCCCAACAATCAGAAAACCTTAGTCAGTTGAAGAGTAGGGTGACCTCATAATGAGAGAAAATCTATATTGTTAATGTGTTTTGGTTTAATATCTTCTTCAAGCTGTAATGATTTAATAGGTAGTTTTATTTAATCTGTTCCATCTAATTAATCAGCTCAAATATTGTGTTTGTAAAAGTTCAATAAAGTTTCCTTAAAAAAAAATAATTTAAAAAAAGCAACATTTTTATATTTTATTGTAAGAAAATAAATAATCAGTACTCAATGTAAACAAAACATTAAACTTTATTTCCATCAAAAAATGTAGAAACTGTACAGAGGAGAAGTGTAATAAGTAATTAATACCTAATTTCAGGAATGTGACCCAAATTCAAATGATAGTAACTTCCACAATTCTCATCCAATAATAATGATTTTTTTGATGGTAAAAAATGTATGTGCTCTCTTTATTATTGTTTACACGAAAAATAAATTCAGTCCCATTGCATCCCCAAACCATCACAAATACAAGATTATGTTTTTATTTCAATTATCTCTTGTGTAGAGTATGATAGAGACTTAATTTCATGGAAATCAATAAATATGTTAACAGGTGTCAAAAGTATTGAAGAATTCCATGAAAATGAAAGAGAAAATATGTCATCAAAATAGTATGATTTTTATAAAAATTAAAGTAAAATATTATGTGTAATTTGCAAATTAGTTTAATTTTCTTTCACTCATAGAGTACCGAATGTTGAATGATGTAATCTCAAAAAGATACAACCATACAATTGAGACATTTTCCGTCTGCAAGCTGTCATAAAGAATCACAGTGATGATACCAGGAACACTACATGTAATGAAATTGTCATATTGTCAGTAAATATTTGAAGCCGTCTTTGGTCATATTTTTGTGTTATTGAGTAATATTTGGCACATACTTTGTAATGATCCTTGCAGCTCTGCAAGTGTACAAGAAAACTAAGTGTATCTCACTTTATTTTTACAGGTGGTCAGAGGCAGATTGTTTGCGACAACAGTTGCCATTAACAATTGAAAATAAGAGAGTTGTTCTGGGCAGAGCTCTTAGTCTCATCCGATTTCCTCTGATGTCAGTTGAAGAGTTCGCAGTTGGGGCTGCGCAGTCAGGGTTGCTCACTGACAGAGAAGTTGTTTCCCTCTTTTTGTACTTCACTGTAAACCCCAAGCCCGTGGTGGGTTTTCTGGACTCTCCACGATGTTGCATGACAGGGAAAGAGCGAACTGTCAATAGATTTCAACAAATAGAAAGTCGTTGGGGTTACAGTGGAACTTGTGATCGCATTAGGTAATTAAAGATCATTGATTTCTCAGGAACCTTCCGTATATGTGGAAAATAGGCTGCTTTAAATATTTAAAAATGAGAAGTGAATTCAAAACTAGTTGCATTTTGTATACTTATTTCAAGGGGTAAACATTAGTGATAAAGAATAACCAAATAATTTTGTATCAGTCAACTACATAAAATAAGTTTACTTAATTTGATGAACATCCAAACAACAAATGTATTCTATTATATTTTATCATTATGTTCCATTTCTCATCTTGAATTATTCATAGTTTCATGGATTTCCTTTGTGAAATGTTGACAGATTCACAGCTGATAGGCGCATATTTGTTGTTGGTTTTGGTCTTTATGGTTCTATACATGGACCCAGCGAGTACGACGTTCATTTACAAGTGATACACACAGCATCAGGCAAAGTGTGCGGCTCAAACAATACTACATTTAGTTGTGATGGTTCAAGTTATACATTTAGAGTAATGTTCAAAGAACCTGTTGAAATATTGCCAAATACCAGTTATACAGCATCTGTTACATTGAAGGTAAGTCTTCGCACGATTAGTATAGCAGTTCTTAATCCATATTTTAAACATTATTGTTAAACTAGATGTTTCGTGGGGGAAGACATTAGGATATCTTGATATTAAGTGTCTTATGGGGGCAAGATTTTCATATGTATGATTGTGCATTGTGTAATATTTTCAATGTGAAAACATTTTGTTGTTTTCATTGTTATTTTATATTTCGTCCAATAATATTTTAATAAAGAGTATTAGTATACAGTGTTAATATAAGAGTAATTATACAGTAGAATTCTGTTACTAGGGAATATGTTAAAAAATATGAACCCTCTAAAATATATAAATTATGGGCATTTTCCTTCACACATAAGAATCTTTAAGAACTTATTAGAATTTTCTGGCCTGAGTAGACAATATATTCAAAATAATATTCCCCCTATAATATTTAAGAGTCTGAAGTTCAAACAACAAATCTGCCATGTGGCAAGCTGGGACCATTCTTCCTTTTACACTTAGATTCTCTCTACCTTGGATTAAAATAAAATGTATTATCAAGCACAATTTGTAAAGCTGTTTTTGTTTTGTAGGGTCCTGATTCCCATTATGGCACAAAAGGTCTGCAAAAACTTGTCTTGGATTGCCCCAGTGGTGGGAAAGTAACTTTCCAGTTTTCTTATGCTGCCGGAAACAATAATGGAACCTCAGTGGAAGATGGACAAATACCAGAAATTATATTTTACACATAACATTTTTGAATACTAAATATACATGACAACAAATAATAGTTGCTTCTAAATTTGCGAGTTCAAGTTCTAAATTTGTCAGTTTTTGATGTACTGTTAATCATTGTGATATGTTTGACTAAAATGCTGCCCAAAGCCATTAAAGTTGTGTGATTTTTGTTCCTTATTATTTGTAATTAAATATTTCTATCAAACATCTTTTTTCTCATTTCATACTGTGCACATTGACCTTAAGAATTATGTAGTTACTAGCAGAACCCAGCAGAGTTTTTACACCCTTCACCACCCTCTCCCTATCTCTCTCTCGCTCTTTCCTCACACATTTAGTTGTTGATTCTGCACAACTGCAGGTGGGGTATTTATGAGAAGCCTTGTACCAGATAAAATGTAATACAATATTGAAAATGATCTCATCCTGTACATAACAATGTGATAAATGTTTCTTTGAGGCAAGTTATTTGACTATATAGAGCAGAGGTGTCCAACTTGCAAGGCTTCAAGGGCCACAACCATCACCTTTATTATGATTGCAGGCCATATTTTCAATACTTGGGCAATCCACACCTGTCTTTCCTGTACTGTTGATCTCGGCAGTTTGCAGGGCTGCTCTGATATTCCTGTGTGATATCAGGCCGTACCATGCATAAAACCATCATATTCAACATCATTACCTTCCCAAAAAATTTTCAACATGATCTTTATTTCTGAAACTTCTAACAAAATCTTACGAATAGTGAGTAAACTAAAAAATAAAAATTCATCTGGATTAGATGAATTTCCGAATTGTTTATTGACAACTTGTGTGCCTGCCTTTATACACCCGTTAACTCACATTTTCAATGCTTCTTTATAAACAGGAATATTTCCAGATATTTTCAAAACAGCAAAAATTAATCCAGTTTTTAAGAAAGGGAGGAAAAATGAAATTCAAAATTACCGAATTTTTCTTTTTTTTTCTTTTAGGTTTCTCTAAAATATTAGAGGGACTTTTCTATATGCGAATGGAAGCTTTTCTCAGGAAAAACGAGTTTTCAGTCTCACAACACGGGTTTAGAAAATCAAAATCTACGGAAACTGCCATTTTTTTTTTTTTTTTCTTTTCTTAAAGTTGTTTGATCAATGAACCAAAATGAAGCACCCATTGGAATATTTTTAGATCTTTCCAAAGCTTTTGACGTTATTGATCATAGCATCTTGCTAACAAAATTACCTTATGGAATTCATGGTATCGCCCTAGATCGGGGAACTTCGTACCTTAAACATCGATTTAAGGGAATTAATTGTAGAATAGAGTAAAAATCTAATTAATTTTGGTCCTTTCAATAATAAGTTATAATTTAATTAAGGATGGTTTACAGAGATCTGTTCATCATTAAATCAATCGCAAAGGATGTAATGTAAAGATATCAAAGATAAAGACCAAAACAATGGCGTATGTGGGAAAACATTCTACCCGCACAAACATAATTATGGAAAATAGGATGCTGGGGTAATTTAGCCATCTCAGATATTTGGGTTATGATGTAACTTGACTGACCCACGAAAGGTAATTACTCAAAAGTGGAATTTCCTTGCATCCATGTCTGGCGGAGACATCGTGCACCTAGCGCACGCGCTCTGACAGGGTCAACACCCCCTTCATTTACAAATAGTAGATTGTTTAGATTTAATTTTTTTCCCCCAGGAAATTGAGAAAATCAAAATTATGCAAATGTGTTTAGTCGTGTTATGCGTGATACGGCCTGATATCCTGGATGGTTCCACCCCACCCCGTCTCAGAGCAGAGGAGCAATCGGTCGTAATCAACGGGGAAGTCAGGTGTGGAGCCCGCAACCATATTGAAGCTGCTGTAGCCCTTGAGGCCTTGCAAGTTGGACACCCCTGGTTTAGACGCTAGCGTTGACCACAGACGGATGTTGTGGAAACTAGGACCCACAAAACATCGATTCTGACCACACGGCGTGTTAGAGGAAGTTATTTACTATGTAATATTATGTATCCACATTTTTGTTACCAGGGCCCGGCAATAGGGTTTTTCTGACGAAAATCCCCGTTTTTTTCGCAATATTACAATACTTTCTCTATACTGCGTAAGAATTAGAGAGAACGTAATAAACGGACTCTCAGCAAATCCCCTAATGGTTTGACGTGCCTTTGGGCATGGCTCCCTGCACCAGGACCAAAGCCAGTTGAGAAATTGAGTACAAAGCGATGCGAGGCTTAAGGAAGTGAAAGCGGATGTTGCTCGTTTTATGGGTTAATCAATGAAACATTTAATTATTTTACAAATCTTATTTCGTTTAAAATGATCTAATGGGCGGTAAGAAATAGCAAAGGCTCACGCAGATCGACGCGCAACATCCGTCTCGGATGCGGCGGCGAAATCCGCGTGTCCGCTCACTCAGCAGCGGCAGCTCAGCCAGCGTTTTGGGGCCGTTTCCCTCGTCCGGTAGAGGCGCTTGCTACTGTTCATTCACGGGACGAAAATGCCAAGTTACTCGTAGTACAGGCTGTACAGTACTGTTACCGTCTTTATCTACGCTTTTCCATCAATTTGTTATTATACCTTTGAGGATCGAAGAAAATGGGACCAAGATATTGACCTAAAAGGAAAAAGTATGGAGAATTTCCTTCAAAACATTTTTCATCCTTTGTAGAATCAAGGTCTTGATCCTACAAAGGACGAGAAATGCTTTTATATATAATTTAGAATGACTAGTAACTCTATTGATGAAGTTTTGAAAGTGATCGCAGATAACAAAAGAAAATCTGACACTTAACAATCGCAGTCGCGGCTCATGCTTAGGTTGCACAGTTGTACATCCCTCAAATAATCGAATAAAACCGCATATCTTAAGAATATACATTTTCCTTTAAATGACAGTCAATATTCAAGATACGGCAGCAATATCGTTGTATTGTGGCGTCTTTGCCGGGGAAATAAATCACAGACGTGAACGGTTTGTAATTTATTGAGTTTTTATTTAAAATATGCTCCAACACCTGAATACTATGTACAATAATTACAATAAACAATATTGAACCGTTACTAGAAGCAATGTTCCTGGTCACCACCACCGCTGGTCTGATAATTAGATATCTTATTCGGTGTGATGAACCAGTAGCCTACGTGAGCATGCAAGCGAGTATGCCGCACCTCCCGTCTCGACGTAGCACGCCGGCTTCAGTTCCCTGCCTCAGTAGCCTATGCATTAAAATGCAGCGCCGCGCACAGCCCACATGACTTCCTACTGACACGCCCAAGAATCAGATGGAGTTTAGGTTCGGGGTCCGTTTATATTACATTCTGGGCCGGCTGACGGAACTGCGTCATCTCGCTGTTTCCGCCGACGCACAGCTAGCCTGTCTACGGGGTTCACAAGTGGCCACCACGACACGGCACCCCCTCCCTTCCGCTCCCTAGCCTTTGTTCAGTCCAGCGTCTGTTCCGAAAGCGCTGTCCATGAGCATGAAATGCACGTGGCTGATATTTTGTCACGTTTGTACAAGGCGACTGATATGACGCCACAGTATATCAAATCATTTTGAAACCAAAGAGCGTCCAACTGCTTCTCTCTCCAGTGCCTGGTGCCTTGCCGGGTGTTGCACCGTATTCTTGGCTGTGGTACTTGGTTTACTGCATTTACTCTTTGGACCTTCGATTTAACACGTCAAAAATAGGCCTTTTGGTTGGCCAACCAGGCGGGTGGCGCTCTCTTGTGGTTCGCGGCGGCCGAGGGAGTGTCCGGGGAATCCCAATTTTGTCTTCGTCTGACTCGTTGCCACGTAATTTTATGAATTTCACATGTTATTGAAAGTACACAAGTTCAGTCAATTATTGACGGCATTTAATACACTATTTATTATGTTTATAATTTTTTTTCATTTGGTATTAGGTTTATTGATTTAAAATGTAGCCTTGATGAATTCTTTGTGTAAAGTTGGCAGTTCTAGAAGTATGTCCCTTTATCGGTGGATAATATTTCCACTTCCAGTAGCCTGCGTGGAGAGCGTTGGTAGGAATACGAGCGCGTGTGTGTGAGGATCATTATTACAAAATATAACAGTGTAGTAAAATTTTCGAAATAAAATAATTTTATTTGTGTGAAACGTGTCGTGCGGGAGTCGAACCTAAGCGCCCATCGAAAATCAAAGAGATCACGTGTGTTGGAATATACATGATATATATGTGGTATTTTATTTCTTGGCGCGTCTTCGTAATGGAATATCTGACGGTATTTCTCATCTTTCTCAGTTGTGCTAAAAAATAATAACCTCAGTATACCTGAACGGACACAACAACAATTATGTAAGTAATGTTTCAATATAGACTATCAATAAACTTAATTTTAATTAATTTGAATTGCTTATATTTTTATTATATATCGTTTTTCAAATTTTGGAATGTACATTTCCATCATTCGATGGAAGTGCAAGCTCCAGTCTGTTGGGGCACCAGCCGACACTGAACAATCGTGAAGCTATCTCATCTGAAGAACGACGAGCTATTGCACTAATATAATTAATTGAAGTATTCCATTGTTGGGAATAATAATGTCACATTGTCTAGTTCTGAAATATTGAGGATTTTAATAAAACTTTCATAATATATCTCAGTATACTTTTAAATGTAGTGTACTTAGGTATAAGTCTACACTGGGTTTAAATAATATACTGCTCTAAAATAATAGTATTTGACGTTATTTTCAGAGCTAATAACTCAATTTTTTTAAATGTGCGGATGCTTCTTGTTCTATTTAACCCTTTCAATTATAATTCTATTGATAGATCCATTATTAATGTAAAGAAAATTAAGAATAAAATACTTTTAAAAAATCTGAGTTTATAAAAATATTTACACCAAACTGAACACGGATTAAATGACTGAATCCAATAAGGTGTTTTTTCTTTACGTTCAATTGATTCAGAGTCACTGCCGAGCTCTAAATGTTCGACTTCTGACGAGTCTTTGCTATCATTTCCACAGCGGAAGAAGCACGTCCGACCGCGAAACAAAAGCCGCCGCGAATTAAACGCTGCAATTCCGTTGCCACGACACACGCACGCCTGCCATGAAGTCACAAGCCACCACATGACGACCAACCTAGGTGGTTCAGGGCATCAGTTGATGGCACTGCATTACCTCTGACCGGGATATACTAGGGTTCCACTCACGACGGTGGCAGGATTTTCGACACTAGTTCGACAGCTAAGAATTCAGCTGCTTTCTCGGGGAGAATTCCAGCGGCCGGTTGCTCTGATCGGAAGTTTTACGTGGTTTCTTCGATTTATACCAGGCGAAGGCCGGAGCAGTACCCAAACAAACGGGCCACGGACAGTGCGCGATTTTTCCTTCGCTTCTTTGTTCCATTCTCCCCTCTTACTTACGCTCTCAGGCTCTACACTATCACACATGTCGGTAGACCGGCCTAGAGCTTAGAGCTTGTCCCGGATGGGGCGGCCTGCTGGTGGGAGATACCTGGTTGGGGAAATTCTCCTCAAGCCGACGTAGATTGGTGTCGGAGAGCTAGGGGGAAGATCACCGCCACATCCCGCGCGATGCAACCATACACTACACTTACGGGACTAACCACTTAGCGGTTCATGCGCCCGGAATCGCTAATAAAACAACCATGTGAGGTGAAATGTCTGCTGCGAACATTTCGCAGAGACTGCGGTTATTTCCCGCCGGTCGGAGGGAGCTTTATAGCGTGTGGTTCGCCATTTCGCCACAGAACGTGTTGATGCACTACAGAAACACAAGGAGCCGCCATTCCAATATCAAAAAAGCATCGAAAATAGACCATCTAGCGACGTAGGACCACAGAGTAAATGCCTCCGTCACGACATCTCTGGATTAGATATCTATCTATCTAGAGACCAATATTTATTAGATATGTAGGTATAATAGAGACAGCCGTGACTCATTTTATATGGGTATGGTCGTATCAAGTGACAAAACCCTGGACAAATCTTTAGGAACTCGACAGACCAAGGAAATTATAATGATTATAATTCTCTCTGGACCAAGGCCTGCGAGGACTCGCAAGTACTGACATCTCGCGTGTTGGTACGAACCACGAACTTGGGTCTTGGATTGAAGTTGGCTTTATCGCTCCCGGGCAATGAGGAACCATCTCGTGTTCTGTTAGAACTGTTTAGAAAAATGCAATGCCAACACAATATTACCGGTGACAGCAGGATAAGGGACTTTAAGAATTTGGAAGAATCATTTACGGAACATATCGAGAAACGAAATGTTAATAGGTAATGGCCAAATGTATTATTTTCCATTTTAATTAAATATTTTTTGCGTTGCGAAGTTGCTTCCTTCACTTTAAACCAAAACAACTTAATATCATTAAAGTGACATTACCACAGAACAACACCATGACGTTACCTTTTGCGTTTCACACCACAGCAGCTGTGCCCTTGCCTTACTTTACAATGATCGGGGGCATTCCAAATACATGCAGGTTGAATTTGATTCTGCAATAGATGATTACAACAAAGCAATTGAAATTAACCCAAATCTTGGTGTAGCCTACTACAATAGAGCAACTGTTCTTTACAGACTTGGTATGTTGTTTGGGGGAGTCATTTAATGAAATATTACTGGATTTTTTTTTAATGTTAAGTTACTGAATGAAATACCCAGTGACTCAGCAGTTTGTACTACAGGTGACTTTGAAGCAGCTTATAAGGATATGGTTAAAGCTGTTGATATGGAGCCCAATAATATTGAATTTCAAAATGGACTAGAGGCCTGCAAGCAAAATGTAAAAGAACATGCAAATTGAAAAGAAGATGGGAATTATGAACTGTGTATGTATGTTGTTTTTCTGTAAAGGTAATTTATAAAGCAGTATGTTACTAGATATTCATAAATATAAAGGGAATTAGTAACATGCTCACAGAGTAGTACTTATTTTTTTATATAGGCTTATGTTATTTAAATTGTTGCATATGTTCTGAAATGTTACAAAGAACCCTTTGAGAAGAACTCACATTGCGATAAGATATTGAAAGTTGAGAGTAAAGTAATGTAACACTGTGCAGAAGAACATGCACAATTTCTGTACAAAAGCAACAAAAAAAAGTTTTATTTCTGTCTGTGTCACATATAAAATAAAGTTTGTGGTAATGTAATGTTAACTTGGCTAGGATTTGTTTTCTGCAGACTGTTTCATCTCCAGGTTTTTATAGTCGTAATTTTTCATCTCTTCTAGGGCATCCTCTGTTTTGCTTTCCTTGATGTCTGAATGCCTTACATTCCAAAGGTTCAAAAATCTATTGTCTATTCTTTCCAATTTTGTCTGGTTGCAGGTCAGTTGTTCTTGTATAGGTATATCTGAGTGTGATATCAGCATATTTTTTAATGTTATGAAAGAGGAAATGTCAACTTGTATTTGATACAAAAAGAATAGTAATTGGAAGAAGTAGATTCAATGTTTTTAGTGTATGTTGTGAAGACAGTAAATAAAGTGAAGAAAATCAAAGAACTTTAATTATTTGCACTGGTCTTTTGATTTTAATGAGAGAGATGATTCATATTATTTTTTTATTAAACATTATCTTCTGTATCTTGAAAAGGCAATGACACAGAGTTAGAAGAAGTACTTCAAAAAGTATTTTGGATTTAAAATACTTCAAAGAATGTAATGTAGGTAAAATACTGACTTCTATGAAACTGTTTTAAATACAAAGTTGTATTGTAGAATACATACTTAACAAAATACCACCAATAATTAAATATTCAAGGATCTCACTTTATAGCTTGAGTATGTTTTACAATTGAACCATGTAGTTTTGTAAAGGTTTAAATGTTCCATTGTTAAAAATCCATTGTTTCACAAAATATAATTTTAAATTTCTAAAAGTGTCCCGTCCAAAACATTTTATGTTTAGTGGGCCACCAAAAGCCATATTAGTATTAAATTTCAAGAGATGGCCTTGGGTCCATCTCTTGCAACTTTTTTTTGATGGGTGCCTTCCTTTCTCAAAATTTCCCAGAATTTGGCACATATTGAAACTAAATTTCTTCCTAATACCACCACCCACAGAATGAGACAATATTATAATGGGACCTCCTTATGTAATGTTAATGTTATACATGATACTCATGTTGAAAAAAGTATACATATATTAAATTGAATTGTTTATTTCAAAAACCCCCATAAGCATCAATCTGTAAATTTTTCAGGAAATAAGGAAAACTGATTAGCTTTCAAAGTATTGTGTTGTCAGTTTTGTGTTGTCAGTGGGGTTTTTGCAATAAACATATTTTTTTGTTAAATAATATACAGAAATCAGAGCTTATAAATACCTTGTGGGGAAAATCATAAATTTAACTACTCAAGGGTATTAAAACTTATGTTTATTTAAGAAAATAGATATAAAGTACAAGAAATGGTAGTTCTTAAATTGAGATGCTCTGAATAAATCTGGTTGAATCTCAAGTGTTTTTTCTTGGTCTGTTGGTGGCCACTCAAACAGAATTGTATATAAGCTGTGGTATATTATCTTAAATTGTTATATGTCCATTTTCTTCACCCCTTCTTTACATAATCTGGATCTGAGAACTTAATCCATTGCACCATTCTATCTGGGGTAATCGACTGCCCAACCATAAAGGTATTTTTTTACAACCACCATTATTTGTTTTAATAAACAATGAAGTTTACCTCTTAATGTGGTATTTCTTGGATTGTTGGTAAGGCTTTGGGACGTCATTTCCTTGTCAGAATTACCCTTCCTTTCATCATTACAACCAATGTGTTTTACACCTCAGGTTGACAGTTTCGGCCGCAAAGAGATAAATATCTTGAATATTTTTACTTTCTATGGAATAAAATCCTTTCCAAATTTGTTGTATGGTTTCATCATTTAAAATTAAATATCATTTCTTTGGATGCTGGCATGTACAATTAGCAGTATTAGGACAAGTAGTTTCTTCTACTTTCCACCTTTTGTGTGATATATAACTTCCACCACTCACTCTTGCAGTTCGAATGGAGTTATGTTTGTAAAATTCCTTAAGGATCACTCCACGTGTTCTCTTCATTGTAATGGTTCATCCTTTAAGTGTTCTGAACCAGGCATTGTTACTTAAATACTGATGCACAACAGCAAACACCACCTGTTAAGAACATTATACTTTTTGCTGAAGAACGAAATTTACTATGTTTATTGCAAAAAGCCCATAAGCGTCAGCACTTGTGTGGTTTCTGCACTAAACATGTTATATACAGCTCAATTTACCGTCACTTCTTTTTAGGGTGGTATTATTATTAATAATAATAAATCAAACATTTGAGGGGATCACTATTTTTCTTTCTTGTCATCAAAAAATTTTAAAAATTAGTATTTTTTTCACCTGCAAAATTCATAAAACATACAAGTTACAAAAGTACACAGCAGGTAATAAATTAGAGAGGCTGATATCATAACTAGACAAAACCCTGCACAAGTTAGCTGTAATGTTGGTTCATTTGTTTTTTAAATGACCTCATAAGACCTAGTTTATAAAAAGGAAATATTCTTCATTAATATAAAAAATATAAATGTTCTTACTAATTTTGATGAATAAAATATAATTTTACAATAATTTTAACAAATAACAAGTGGTGCCAAAGCAAACAGCACATACTTTGTTGCGTTATTTGTAAGGGATATGCAATATATGATTTCAAATTGTGCTCTACTAATTCTTCATCATTCTTGTCAAATACTCAAAGCAAAAGAAGCAGGGAAATTCAAGTTAGTAATTTTTGAAAGTTGGCTCTTTCAATGAAAATCAAACTATCACCATACTTTGCTACGATGAAGAAACTAGTGGTGTTACAGAATGGTGTTACGGACTTTCTCTTACCCATTAGTTACCTTATCTCTTCAGTCTGCTATTTTTCCGTTTTATCACAACCTCTTCTCAGGTTGCATCTATTGATACCTAAAACATGTTTTTTTCACATTTTCTCAAATTTTTGTATCCCTATTAGTAATAGAATTAAAATATGACATGAACAATATATTGGAAGGTAAAATCTTTTCCTATAAACACATTTTCTTTGGAATTTTTTGCGATGTTTTTAAGAGAATGGTGTTCAAGTGTTTTTGAAAATGTAAAAATTTGATCATTTGCACAAAAGGTTTTAAGTTTTTGAGAATCTTTTTTCAGATATCGTTTGAAGCACTTGTACTAACAAATGCAATAATGTATACAATTTTCAGTAATGGAAATATTAATGATGTGGCAGAGATACAAAAAAATTTCATTTGTGAAATTTTGGGAAAAAAGCAACAAAAGAATACAGAAAAATGGCTTAATGCCATCCCATATACCATATTCTATTAGTGTTTTTAGCACTAAAAAAAGTTTGAAGAAAATGTTTGAAGCGTTTTTTGAGAAAATATTTTTTAATTTACCCATAGTTCAATGAACATTATGCAAAACTGACTAAAATTTTCCAATCAAAATTGAATGTACAAGAATTGAAGAAGCAATTGTGAAGAACAAAGTGCATTTGAAGAAAAAAATGCTATCTTCAATATTGTAGTTTTAGGAAGACGCCGAAGAGCTTCCAACTTTTGTGATTTTCTAAAATTCAGAATTAACAGTGAAAATCATAGCTTCTCTATCTTTATGAGTATGTTACACTATTGTTACAAGATTAATTTTTTTAATGGGATCCATTTTTGAGAAAAATTATGAACTTTTTTCAGTGGATTCATGTAAAGTATTCCCACAATTTACTGAATGTTTTTCAAAATCGCAGTTTGTCGGATCTGATCGATAAGGGTACATTCATTTTGGGAAAACTCTACGAATAATTTAGGCACTGGCGTATTCACAAACGGACGGACGGTTGGGAAAGACACTAAAACCTACGCGCGCGCACAAACACGCTCGCACGCACTCGCACACCTTCTTCGGTATTGGGGAACCCGGTCGATTTACCTCAGTTTGACAGGACTCTCTACTACGTACATTACTCTGAATGTAATAGACGTAAGTATACGAGAAAGAAACTAGTGGTGTTACAGAATGGTGCATACTTTCTCGTACTCTTAGTTTCCTTAACTCTTCTGTGTGAGCTCTTTCCAGGTTTTTGCCAGCCTCTTCTCTGTTGCCATCTATTGACGCCTAAATTTTTTTTCTTCAATTTTTTGAATCCCTATCTTCCGAAGTGAAATACGTCTTTCATAATATAATAGAAGAGTACCACCCGGTCTCATATGCAAATTTTCATTGCAAGCTTTGTGTGCGTTTTTAATTTTATTTATCGATTAGTGATTCCGGGCGCCTCAACTGCTAAGGCAATTAGTCTAGTAAGTATAGTGCATTCTTTCTCCTCGAGAGGTGGCGGTGCCCCCCGCTGCTGGCGAGATCCGGCGCCGACCTACCGTCGGCTAGCGAGGTGTTCCACAACCAGGTATCTCCCAAAAGTGAGGCACCGCCCCAGCCGGTACAAGTGGAGCCGTTTCTGAGAAGAGTGTTTGTTGGCTTCTGAAAATGCGCAGTTTTGATTTCATTTCCACAAAAATTTTGAGTTTTTGAGAAACTTGGGTTTGGTTATTCTTTGAAACCGTTTTACTCAGTAATGCAATACTGTATACAAATTGCCGGTGATGCAAATATTCACGACGTAAGAAATATTTTCAAGGATTACATCATTGTAAATTTAGAGAAAACCAATGAACGCCGCGTATGTCATCATAGTGCTTTTAGCACTATCTGTGGAAAACTAGTGGCGCTAACACAGCACGTACTTTCTCGCCCGCGTTTTCACTCAAAATTGCGCAAAAGTAACACACATTTTCGAAAAATTGTATATGAATTAATTTCAAAATATATATTTAAGGAACAGATTTCATTAAGGGAAAAACTCTCTATCTCCATTATAATTATTGTTGTAGGAAGACACCGAAAAAATGTTGAACTTTTGCCAGTTTTGAAAAATCAACGTTTTCAACGACAACGAAACCTGCACCAATGCCTTAAATGTCCTTTGCATTATCCAATCAACGAAACTTAATAAAAAAAACTATAGATTTTTTATTGAAAATGTCCCAAGGGCTTCATGTAAACAACCCCCCCAAATTAAAATATCAGTTTCAAATTCAAAGTGCCGCCACATTAACGAGATCAAATGGGAAATATCAATTTTGAAGAAAATTGCCTGAAAGGTTTAACCGCTATTGTTCACAGGCGTTTTACCGTCAATCGATTTTGCGCTATAAAGGATCAACAGAACATGGATTCTTGGTACACCAGGTGTTAGAGGATTTCCCCCCTAAATTTAGCAACTGTATTTATCCACTTTTCGTTACCAGGGCCCGGCAATAAGAGTTCTTCTGCCTTTCTTCTCTCGCAGCATTAAATTTCTCTGTCCTGCGTAAGCTGCAGAGAACCGAAAAAGTAGAAGCTCGTTTTGGGGACATGATTTAGTTGTGTGGAAAGCAGTTATCTGTCGAAAATTTACAGTTTTCCGGCGCATGAGTACAATACTTTCTCTTCGTACGAATTAAGGACGAGAAAGTATGCATTTGCCATATACGTATGGAGATTAATTTTCTTTTCTATTATTGCCAAAACTCTCATTTCCATGTGTATTCAGAATTTAACTTTTACGTGGGTTAAATTATTGATCCTACAGCGTAAGAAAACGTGAATATTGCTCCCCATAGTACGTCACATACAGTTTTAACAATTCTTGTCGTGAAATTGGTCAATGATTGAACGAAATGAATAAAAAAACATTTATCTCATATAATCTGCGTACTGCGGCGGGCTTGCCATCCTCAATTCCAATCACATAATTTGTAAGACGAGCAAGTGGAGCGCGGGAAATTGGACTTTTTTAATTGATTGCTTAAGACAGATTTCGTTTAACAAAGAAACTATCATCAATGTTGTACTTTCTCAATGTCAACTTTCTCTATAATACGTATATTACTCCGTATATACGTACGTATTCGAGAAAGTAAACATTTGGAGCAATATTGGACAAGATGTGGTTCGAGTTTTTCTGAAAATGAGGAATTTGGGGTTCAGTTTTACAGAGACGTTTTGAGTTTCGAGAAACTTTAATTGATCATTTGAAGCACTTATACATGCAAACCCAATAATGTATACAAATCGGTACTAATATAAATATTAAAGGCGTGAGAGAGATACCAAAACTATATTTGTGTAATCTTTGAGTTCATAATCATATTTTTGGGAAAGAAGGTAACCTGCGAGGAAAGGAATATTCCTGAATCTGAGTGGGGGATAGGTTTAGATAATAATCAAGGAATTGTCATGCTAAAAAGTAGTGTTGAAATTGCATGTAATGTTATACAACTTAGCAGGGTGACAAAAATCAACTATTTGGACTTTTTTTTAACAGTATGGCCTAGTCA